TCATCTACATACCGGATCCATATTTTAGGCTGTATGTGTGGCAGTGCTATAGCTTCTAGGCATTTTAGACCAAGCCAAATCCAAATATGCAAGAGAATTCTGCATATGCTGCAGAAATTCTGCAAATATGCTGACCCCTCCTAAGAGCTTCACCACCTCTCCCCCAAACTCCTTGCCTTTCAGCACTTGAGATGAGCTGAGACAGAAGAGGGTTTTCCCAAAGGATCTTCACCATCAATGGGTCCTTTGCCCTGAAAGCCCTCACCTCCCTTCCTCCTCCCCCCAATACAGCCCCCACCGGGGACACTCACCTGCCAGGCGGCTGCTAAATGGCCTCCTTGCTCCCTACATTGGGAAGAAAGACAAAGAGTGAGTCTCTCCCTTCTCCAGATCCTCTGAGGAGGAGGCATCTCTCTCTGCACCATTGAACCTCTTCAGCTCCACGAACCTCTCAGAGGAGACCAGGCTGTGCAACCAGAACAGTCGCTAATAACTGGGGCTCATGACATTTCGGGTGGTTTCCCTATTTCCCACCCCAGAGCTGAGGGGCTCTTTGCTCCAAAGGGGGCCAGGCTCCGCCATGCAGGCTCTGGAGCTGCCTTCCCTGCCTGAGTGAATGAGGCTGGAAATCCAACAGGGAGAGAATTTCCCTTTCTCCTCTACAGGAACAAAGCAGTGGGAGAAAAGTGAATTTTGTAACTTTGTTAAAAATCAAGGAAAAGAGAGGAGGTGGGAGAAAAGTGAACCACTTGATTTTGTACAGGGTAAAAGGAGGAAGAAGGAAAGAAAGAGAACAAAATTATTAAAATTGAAGGAAAAAAAGAGACTTTGGGAGCTCCTTGGGACAAGTGAAAAATAAGTAATTTCACTTAAACCCCCCTTTAATGAGAAACCGCTTTTCCAATCTGATACTGTTCATATACTGATGTAAAATAATTTTAGTTGTTTGTGAACAACTTGCCATCTAAGTAAACAGGAGAAAAACCATAATTCTCCCACCCACATTTAAGATATTACAGTATGCAAAAGGCAACAATATCAATTTAAATCTCAATAGATTTATCTATCCTTTCTTCTAGTTCTCTCCAAATAGATCCTGGTTTCACAGGAACCACACAAAGAGGGAACACATGGAGTGTGCATTAGGAGGCCCTTTAAAAAGAGGGGGGTGGGGGCTCTCCCTCTTTCCACCCCAACCCCCAGCACTCTTGCTAAGAGGCAGAATTGCTCTTCCTCATTCAGGAGCAGCTCCCTCGGCTTACCTGGGCCTGAACTGTAGGATCCTTTGTCACTCACTGGAAAAGAAAGAAAGAAGGCGGGGAGGTCAGTCCCTTCGCTGGATGGGAGGAGGTGGAGAAACTCACTCTTTCTGATTCCACTCCCTCCTTCTCTCCCCCCACCCCAAGTTTCAACCAAACTGCTTTAGCTACAAGAAATAGCAACAAATTCTTAACATACATCTATCCATCCGCCCACCTCGCCCACCCACCCACACTGAGCAATATTCCAGCAATTCTCCAGCCACAGGGTGCGGCTGAGATGAGGATACAGATAGCTCCAAAGTTTCTTTCTCCAGTCAGTTCATATTTTGAGAGCCTTGTGGTGGCAGAACAAGAGGAGATCCAGCTGGCATCTACCAAAGCTCCTTTTCTCCTAAATCCCTTCTTTGTTCACTACTTTTACGGAGTTTCCCGACCAGATTATGGTCAGTGGTAAAGGCTCCAGGCTAGAAAGCAGGCAACAGCGAGTTCTAGTCCCACCTCAGGCATGAAAGTCGGCTGGGTGACTTTGGCCCAGTCACTCTCTCTCAGCCCAACTCACCTCACAGGGTGGTTGTTGTGGGGAAAATAGGAGGAGGAAGGAGGATTAGATATGTTCACCTCCTTATTATTTGTAGAAATAATAAAGGAGGAATAAAAAAAAATCTAAGGAAAGGTAAAAAAGGGGACCCACCTTCTCCAGCTTACTTCTTGGGAGGAAGAACACACACACACCCTTCAACTGATGCTACCTCTGATCCCTGCTCTGAATTGGAGCTAACATGTAAAGAGGACAAATCACTCACTTAATGCTGCCTTGTAGCCTTCTTGATGTTTCTCTGCAAGGACAAAAATCAGTCAGAAATAAAAAGAACCCATCAGAGATCATCCAGTCTCTCCCTCCTACACAGCACCAGGAGATGTTGTCACAGTTGTTTACTCACAGCCTCACCTGGCAACTACTATTTAAGAGACACAGGAATATCCTCAGGCTGCAAACACACCACCTGATTTGCTCCAGGAGAGACCTTCTGCCTCTGAGATGGATGGAGGGAAATGGGGAAAGCAGCAGCAGCTGCGAGAGGAGGAAGATTTTCATTGAAATCCTCCTCTGCTGGTCTTTGACCAAAGCCTTTGAAAGGGGCAGAACCGCGATGCCGCCTCCCAACTAAGAAGAAGACTGGACTGTCCAGACCTCAGACTCTGCTGAGTCAAGACTGGAGTCCCAGCAAGAGGCCGACATTTCAGATGTTCCCAAAGAGGGCTGGGAAAACTGGGAAGAAGCTAGCCCAGAAGGAGCTCCCAAAGGGAGAGACTTGGGAGGAATCTCCCCACCTTCCTTCACAACCACCCAGCAAAGGTAGTTACAGGATACTTACTGAGAAATACCAAGATCCCAACAATCCCAACAATCAC